TAATAATAATAATTAGCTGGGCGTGGTGGTGCACGCCTGTGAGCCTAGCTACTCGGGAGGCTGAGGCAGGAGAATCACTTGAACCCGGGTGGCAGAGATTGCTGTGATCAATCTCCTGCACTCCAGCCTGGGCAACAGTATAAGACTCCATCTCAAAAAAAAACCAATGTTTACAAATATTACCTTCAAAAGTGTAGCCATGGTTAGATGCATGGCCTTTGAAATCAGAGAGACATTTGAATTTGAATCCAGTCTCTATGATCAGTTGTATTAGACAAGTTACATAACCTCTCTAAGCCTCAGTTTCTTCATCTATAAAATGGGAATAATCGGCCCGGCGCGGTGGCTCATGCCTGTAATCCCAGCACTTTGGGAGGCCGAGGCCGGTGGATCACGAGGTCAATAGATCGAGACCATCCTGGTCAACATGGTGAAACCCCGTCTCTACTAAAATTACAAAAAATTAGCTGGGCACGGTGGCGCGTGCCTGTAATCCCAGCTACTCAGGAGGCTGAGGCAGTAGAATTGCCTAAACCCAGGAGGCGGAGGTTGCGGTGAGCCGAGATAGCGCCATTGCACTCCAGCCTGGGTAACAAGAGCGAAACTCCGCCTTAAAAAAAAAAAAAAAAAAATGGGGCCGGGCGCGGTGGCTCAAGCCTGTAATCCCAGCACTTTGGGAGGCCTAGACAGGTAGATCACGAGGTCAACAGATCGAGACCATCCTAGTCAACATGGTGAAACCCCGTCTCTACTTAAAATACAAAAAATTAGCTGGGCATGGTGGGGCGTGCCTGTTATCCCAGCTACTCAGGAGGCTGAGGCAGGAGAATTGCCTGAACCCTGGAGGCGGAGGTTGAGATGAGCCGAGATGGTGCCATTGCACTCCAGCCTGGGTAACAAGAGCAAAACTCCGTCTCAAAAAAGAAAAAAAATGGAAATAATCATTCCCATGATTACTGAACCAAGAATCAATGTAATATTATGTAGAGCACTTAGCATATAAAGCAAGACTCTCCAATGGGAAAAAAAATAAAAATAAAAATAAAGCACTTAACATAGTGGTTTTTTTTAATTGCATTTTAGGTTTCGGGGTACATGTGAAGAACATGCAAGATAGTTGCATAGGTACACACATGGCAGTGTGATTTGCTGCCTTCCTCCCATTCATCTATATCTGGCATTTCTCCCCATGCTATCTCTCTCCAACTCCCCACCCCCCACTGTCCCTCCCCTATTTCCCCCCAACAGACCCCAGTGTGTAGTGCTCCCCTCCCTGTGTCCATGTGTTCTCATTGTTCAATACCCGCCTATGAGTGAGAACATGCAGTGTTTGATTTTCTGTTCTTGTGTCAGTTTGCTGAGAATGATGCTTTCCAGGTTCATCCATATCCCTACAAAGGACACGAACTCATCGTTTTTGATGGCTGTATAATATTCCATGATGTATCTGTGCCACATTTTCCCTAAAAATACGGAACGCTTCACGAGTTTTCATGTCATCCTTGCGCAGGGGCCATGCTAATCTTCTCTGTATTGTTCCAATTTTAGTATATGTGCTGCCGAAGCGAGCACTAGCATAGTGTTTTGTACATAAAGAATACTCAACATATGGTAGCTTTTTGAAAAAAATCACTTCTGATGTTATTGTTGATGTTGTTTTTGTTTTTATGCTTAAAGTCACCAGCAGACTAGAGGTATGGGTTTTCACAAATGATGACCGGCCACATAGTCACCAATATTTCATAATCATTCTTTCTTGAATCAAATTACTGCCATGGCTAACTAGAAGTACCAAATTGAAAGCAATATTGATTAATTATATGCATGGAAATGTCTTAAACTTTTTTGGCCAAATAAATTACTCTTGATAAACGTCCATACAGATGGTTAAATTGCCCCTTTCAGTTATAAGACATGCAATGTTCCTTTTCCTTTCTAAACATCAAATAATCAAGTGATGCCTGGTTCTTGTGTCCCAGGGTCCCTGGCCACATAGATAATTGATATCATTCTTCCTATTTAGCCCATAAGCTTCAAATTATGATAAAGGAAAGATCCCAGATTTAGAGTTCTCCCTGGAATTCTGAGGTTTTTCTCTGTAGCACCCCTCAGAGTCTTTTGTTTAAAAAAAAATTTTTTTTTCAGTCAGGGCACGGTGGCTCACATCTGTAATCCCAGCACTTTTGGGAGGCCAAGGCAGGTGGATCACCTGAGGTCAGAAGTTCAAGACCAGCCTGGCCAACAGGGCTGTCTCTTTAGTAGAGACAGTAAAACCCTGTGTCTACTAAAAATACAAAAATTAGCCAGGCGCAGTGGCGCGTGCCTGTAATCCCAGCTACTCAGGAGGTTGAGGCAGGAGAATCACTTGAACCCAGGAGGCGGAGGTTGCAGTGAGGCAAGATCTCACCACTACACTCCAGCCTGGGTGACAGAGTGAGACTCCATCTCAAAAAAAAAAATTTTTTTCAGAATCTATTTTTGTATCTACCTCTTAGAACTTAATCTTCCTTTTGTGGAAAAGAGTGTCAGTACATTCCCTGAGACATGTGAAGAGCTAGCATTTACCAAATGCTAAATATATGGCAAACATTGTTTTAATTGCATTACATGGATTAACTCATAGAACCAGCTTTACCGTCTCCTGTGATGTTGGAAGCTGAGGCCCAGGGAGGTAAAGGTAATGTGCTTGTGGTCATTCAGCTGGTAAATGGCGGAGCTGGATCCAAATCCAGGCAGACTGTTTCCATGCTCTTAACACTATCTTGATTCTTACTAAATATCTCTGTGAAATATGTCTCATATTCACCCCCTTTCTTTCATCTCCACTGATGTCACATGAAACTTTCAGAATGTCTTAGTTGCATTATTTCAATAACTTCTGAGTTTGTTACTCTACTTCCAATATCTCACTCATCATCTCTGAGTGTCACTGCCAGATTAATTTTCATAAAATATTGCTTTTAGTATGTCATTTCCCTGTCCAAGAAACTACATTTTTTATGTATCTATGTATGTTTTTGAGACAGCATTTCTGTTAACCAGGCTGAGTGCAGTAGTGCAATCATGGCTCACTGTAGCCTGACCTCCCGGGCTCAAGCAATTCTCCTACCTTAGCCTCCTGAGTAGCTGGGACCACAGGCACTTGCCACCATACTCAGCTAATTACAAATGCCATTCAGAGTAGCAATCACGGCTTTTCAAGCCTGAAAGAACCTAGCATCATGCTGCACTCACATTGTTTAAGAAGTAAACATATGGATACACAGATTGATGTGTACGGTATTTGGGAGGATTTGCTCCAATCTTGGCACTATATTTTATGTATGTATTTATTTATTTTGTAAACCAAAAATAAAATTCTAAGCCCCCAACCAAATGAATGGGCTCTTCTTCTTAGCTGAAGGGCATTCCTAAATTAACCTGAAAAACTAGTTGAGGACATGATAAGAAGTGGGAGTCAGACATGCCTCATTATATTCTCCTCCTTTTGGAACTCAGGACCAGCATTTAACATTAAAGCAGAGACCTTAAGATTGACACAGCAGACTGTAGCAATAAAACCAACATTGACAGATAGCAGGCCCCATCTGTCATGATAGCAGGCAAAGGTGTCTTTTGTGGTGAAAATCTACATTCTGTAGAAAATCCCCTGACTTTTCCAGGTCTTATTCCTAACCCAGGGGAGAGCTAAAAGTCTGACACCTTTTTAAATCTGGTAAAAAACACTGGCCAGGTGTGGCCAGGCTCACACCTGTAATCTCAGCACTTTGGGAAGCAGAAGTGAGAGGATCACTTGAGCCCAGGAGTTCAATACGAGCCTGGACAACATAATGAAACATCACCTCTATAAAAAATACAAAAATAAGCCAGGCATAGTGGAATGAACGTGTAGACTCAGCTACTTAGGAGGCTGAAGTGGGAGGATTGCTTGAGCCTGGGAGGTCAAGGCTGCAGTAAGCCATGATCCAGTTACTCCACTCCAGACTGGGTGACAGAGTGAGACCCTGTCTCAAAACAAAACAAAAAACAAAGAAACATTGACATTTTATGCTTTCTGAAGCCTGCTACCTGGAGGCGTCTCTGCATAATAAAAACCTTGGTTTTCACAACTTGTGGTTTCTGCAACTCTGTGTGTGTGTGTGTGTGTGTGTGTGTGCATATCTTAGTAACAACCTCCTTAATTTAATCCAGACATTCCCTTCTTTGGGTTCCAGGTCTTAGTCTTTCAACAAATTGCCAATCAGCACATCTTTGAATCCACCTACATCCTGGAAGCTGCCATCCCCAGACCCCTTTTGGGACCAAGCCAATGTATATTTTACATGTATTGATTGATGTTTTATGTCTCCCTAAAATGTATAAAACCATGCAGTAGCCCAACTATTTTGGACACGTGTTCTTAGGACCTTCTAAGGCTGTGTCACTCTCATATCCTTAACATTGGCAAAATAAACTTCTAAATTGATTGAGACCTGTCTCAGATACTTTTTGGTTTGCAATTTATGTATGTATTTATTTGAGATTGCTAGGTTGCCCAGGCTAGGGTACAGTGGCAGGATCATTGCAGCCTCATCCTCCTGGGCTCAAGGGATCCTCCCACCTCAGCCTCCTGAGTAGCTGGGACTACAGCCACCCACCACCAGGCTGGGTAATTTTTTTTTTTCTGCAGATACGGAGTCTCCTGTATTCCCCAGGCTGATCTGGAACTCCTGGGCTCAAGCAATCCTCCTGCCTCGGCCTCCCAAAGTGCTAGGATTACAGATGTGAGCCACTGCGCCTGGCCAGGTACTATATTTTAAACACAAAGGATCTAGGTAATGACAAGGACAGCACGAATTCCTATAATGAATGCAAACGTGTCTCGATATCACAATGTCTGGCACAGAGTTATTGGAGGCTGTTCTGTCCAGCGCGTTACAATTTACAAAGCTGCTTCTCTGAAGCTGGATTTAGAATCTGCCTTAAACTCCGCGGCGGGGCCTTTGACAGCAGTAGGGACTGGAGCAGGATCAGAGCCGTTAGCGTTGATGGTCACTGTTGCTTCGGGCGCAGGTATGGTTTTCTCTGGGTTGCCATTTCAACTAGACGGCCTCTGGTAGACCAGACCTCGATCCTCTGTCTTTATCTGCTTTGCAGAGGTGGGACCATCTCTCTTGCACAAAGTCAGCCCCGGCTCGCAAACACTCCGCCCCGCACAAAGATGGCGCGGAGACGGGCTGGGCCAATGGAGTGTGGCGTTGCTCGCGGTTGCCTAGGTAACAGCCAATGGGCAGCGGGGATTGTGCCCAGTGCGGTGGCCGGGATGGCGGTGTCAAGTGGGGCAAGTGCTGGTGGAGGTGGCAGAGAGCAAGGTGGCAGCCGGGAGCCCAGGAAAAGTCCGAGGCGCTGGAGCCCTGCGTCGAGGCGTGACGGTCATCCCGAAAGGCCGGCCCCAGGTTGGCTGCAGGCGCGGCGCGGGAGGGAGGGTGCCGAGACAGACTGTAATCGGCCAGGTGGGCATTGAGGAACTAGCACGAGATGACCCGGCTGGGGGGCGCGGTCCATCTCGGATACGCTGACCCGAGGGCAGCTGCCTGTGTGGGACACAAACCTAGACCCTTTAGTCTCCACCGCGGGGGTCGAGGCCCAGAAGAGTCCACGGCAGTCGGGTTGGCGCGCAGGGGCTGCGAGGCTGAGTCGGGGAATGGCAGACCCGTGTGAGCGTTATACCTGCCAGGCGGGAGAGCGGGCCCGGGTAGCGGAAAGGAGCCTGGCTGGAACGCGAAAATGGGGCGCGAGAGGGTGTTGCTTTGTTGTGGTCTAGGGCTTTGTTTTCCCAGGGCCCGCCTTTGTCGCACTGGTGGAGAGAACTCCCACATATGGAAACCTGGGGAAGGGGTTGCTTTAATTTGTTGATGGGTGGTATTCCTGCAGTCTAGCATCTCTGAACTGCTTAGGTACCAGCAGGAATAACTGCTGTAACGGAGCCCAGCCCAGGCATTCCTTTTCCCCTGAAATAGGATAGGATTCTGGCAGTGTTGCTCCCTAGTCCCAATTGCCCCCAGGTCATCATCGCCTTTTTTTTTTTTTTTTTTTTTTTTAACATTCTTTTTGGCGCCAGTATCTTCTTCCCACTTTCTTCAATTAGCAACGATATACATTTGTTTACTTTTCACAAGGGGAAAGAGGAGGTTAGACTTATAATAAAAAACAGTTATTTCGAGCTCATTTTAAACACTTGAAAAAGAATATTTAGCCTGTAATCCCAGCACTTTGGGAGGCCGAGGTGGGCGGATCACCTAAGCTCGAGAGTTCGAGACCAGCCTGACCAACATGGAGAAATCCTGTCTCCACTAAAAATACAAAATTCGCCTGGCATGGTGGCTCATGCCTGTAATCCCCAGTTTCTTGGGAGGCTGATGCAGGAGAATCGCTTGAACCCAGCAGGCGGAAGTTGCCGTGAGCCAAGATTGCTCCAGGCGGGGTGAGGTCAAGAGATTGAGACCATCCTGGCCATGGTGAAACTCTGTCTCCACTAACATAAAAAAAATTAACTGAGCATGGTGGCATACCTGTAGTCCCAGCTACTCCCGAGGCTGAGGCAGGAGAATCGCTTGAACCCGACTGGCGCAGATTGCAGTGAGCCCAGATTGGGCCACTGCACTCCAGCTTGGTGACAGAGCAAGACTCCGTCTCAAAATAAATAAATAAATAGAATAGTTGACTTTTTGTTCGAGGTTCCTAACAATGCTAATTTTTGTTTATCAAAGCCTCCATTTTCTCCTCTTTAAGATTCTAAAAGCCTATGAACTGCTTTCTTTATTACTGAAGTAATTTGACAAGACTATTGTACCCTGGGAAGGGTGGTTTTGTGGGGACAGTGTGAAGGTATATGTGGGTAGTTAGGGTGGCTGCCTCCAAACAATATTCTCTAACTGGATCTCCCCACACCACTGCCTCAACTTTTTTTTTTTTTTTTTTTTTTTTTAGACAAGGTCTGGCTCTGTTGCCCAGGCTGGAGTGCAGGTGTGGTGCTGTCACTGCTCACCACAGCCTCAAATTCTGGGCTCAAGCAGTCCTCCCACCTCAGCCTCCTGAGTAGCTGGGACTACAGGCATGCACCACCACATCTGGCTAATTTTTTTTTTTTTTGGTAGAGATGAGGTCTCACTACATTTCCCAGGTTGGTGTTGAACTCCTGGGCTCAAGCAATCCTCTTGCCTTGGCCTCCCAAAGTTTTGGGATTACAGGAGTGAGCCACCAGGCCTGGCCCTGTTCCTCTTTATGTTATTTTTTTTTTTTCTTTTAAATCCTCTTAAATTGGACACAGGTTACTGTGAATACAAAGTGTTCTTTAATAAGTTGATTTCTTAAAATTAGAAAAAGATAAAAAGAATGGAAACAAAAATTCTCATTACTGTCTCAGAGTTCTGTTTGGAAATAAGAAAATAAAAAAAGAAAGGTCTGGGGCAGAAGAAAATAAAAGTAGCAAGAATGTGGTCTATAGTGCAGACTAATAGTGTATTGGTTTATAGGGACATAATAATAATTTTCTTTTTCTTTTCTTTTTTTTTTTTTTGAGACGGAGTTTCACTCTTCTTACCCGGGCTGGAGTGCAATGGTGCGATCTCGGCTCACCGCAACCTCCGCCTCCTGGGATCAGGCAATTCTCCTGCCTCAGCCTCCTGAGTAGCTGGGATTACAGGCATGCACCACCATGCCCAGCTAATTTTTTGTATTTTTAGTAGAGATGGGGTTTCACCATGTTGACCAGGATGGTCTTGATCTGTTGACCTCGTGATCCACCCACCTCGGCCTCCCAAAGTGCTGGAATTATAGGTGTGAGCTACTGTGCCCGGCTTTTTTTTTTTTTTTTTTAAAGATGGGGTTTCACCATGATGGCCAGGCTGGTCTTGAACTCTTGACCTCAGATGATCCACCCACTTCGGCCTCCCAAAGTGCTAGGATTACAGGTGTGAGCCACCACGCCCAGCCAGTAATTTTCTTTTATGTAAATGTTTGGACTGATCTTTCGCAACCCATCTGTCAGGAGTGCAGAAAGGGTGGGTGTCTGTTTAGAAGTGTGAATCATCTTGGCTTGTGACTGGATTCCATGTATATATCTGGAGCCTAAACCCCTAAGCCATATATTCTCTTTAAAAAGATGATTTGGTTAACTGATACAGATACTGATTTGTATCCCTTATTAAAGTATTGGGTCAGGCACAGTGGATCACACCTGTATTCCTAGCACTTTGGAAGGCTGAGGTGGGCAGATCACTTGAGCCCAGGAGTTCAAGACCAGCCTGGACAACATGGTGAAACCCCATCTCTACAAAAAAATGCAAATATTAGCTGCATGTGGTGGCATGTTTCTGTAGTCCCAGCTACTCAGGAGGCTAAAGGTGGGAGGATGGCTTGAGCCCAGGACGCAGAGGTTGCAGTGAGCTGAGATGACGTCACTGCACTCCAGCTTGAATGACAGAGCTAGACTCTGTCTCCAAAAAAAAAAAAAAGTATTGGGCTTTCCATCTTCATCAGCACTGGCTATATTTTGTTAAACCAGATTTGTCTCAATGACCATAGTTATTGGTGAAATTCCTTTTTGGGTCAGTAGCTATACAGCTATTTATTAGCATGGTTAATTATAAAAGTCATAAATTAAAATCCAGACAGTATCCCAAATAGCAACAATATCAACTATTTGGGCACATGTTACAGTTTCTAGCCAAATATATTCAACCATGGCCTTAGACCCATGGATTCTACATGTGTTCCCTTACATTAGCACTTCTGATTGTGGTCTTAGCAATGGACATCATTTTGGCAAGCATCTGCCTAAGGGAATTTGCTATATGTCCCTAAATCAAAATGGAATGAAAGTTTGTACTATATACTGTTGAAAGCCAATGGTAGAGGATGGTGGCAGGGTTAGGTTGAAACATGGTATTCCAGTTATTATTGCCATATAACAAAGTACCCCAGAATTTAGCAGCTTAAAACAACCACATGATGTTCACGGTTTCTGTGGGTCAGGAATTTGGACCGGGTGTCATGGGAGGCCTCTCTGCTCCCTGATACGGGATGGAACGCAGGCTCAGTGGCTGAGGGTTGGAATCATCTGAAGGCTCCTTCACTGATGCCTGGTACCTAAGATAGAATGATTCAAAGGTAAGGACAGCCAACTGGAGCACCAGTATATGGCTTTCCTGTGTGACTTGGCTTTCACTGTTAGCCTCTGGGTAGTCAGGCTTTTTATGTGGTGGCTCAGGTGTCCAAGTGTGAATATATTGGTGAGCAAGATGGAAGTTGTATCACCTTTTGTGATCTAACCTCAGAACACATTTTCATTGTGTTCCATTGGTCCAAGCAGTCACAAGCCTACTCAGATTCAAGGGAGGGGAGGTAGATTTCACCTTTTAATGGGTCAGCAGCCAGGTCAAATTGTAGACAAACATGTAAGACAGAAGATACTATTGCAAACGTCTTGGAAATACAGTCTGCCACATTTGGCAATAAAAAGGTAACCTTTCTGGTCTCATTGGCTTCCTTAAAATATTTCTGATATAATCCCCAAGAGCTAATAGCATACTAAAAAAGTAGTTAGGGGCTGGGCACAGTGGCTCATGCCTGTAATCCCAGCACTTTGGGAGGCCAAGGCAGGCAGATCAATTGAGGCCAAAAGTTTGAGACCAGTGTGACCAACATGGCAAAACCTCATCTCTACTAAAAATATAAAAATTAGCTGGGCATGCTGGCACACCTGTAATCCCAGCTACTCAGGAGGCTCAGGAGGCTGAGGCATGAAAATCTCTCTAGCCTGGGAGGTGGAGGTTGCAGTGAGCCAAGATCACACCATTACACTCCAGCCTGGGCAACACAGTGAGACTCTGTCTCAAAAAAAAAAAATCCTTTGGAGGGGGGAAGGTGTACAACTTGAGAACTAGTACTTTGTCCATAAATAACTCTCAAACTGGAGAAACATTCCCTTCTTTCAGTAATCTAGTGGTCCTTCTGGAATAAGGTATATGATGCCACTCTTTGGAAGTTTTCTGTAGCCTTGAGAAAAAGTAAATAAATACAAGGCAGTGCTTTTCCTGACTCCTGTGTAGTGAATATGACTCCTCAAATCCCGCTACAATAACTCCTTTCAAATTTTGAGTGAAAACAAGTTGGTTAACTGCTGCCAAACATCTCAAGGAAATGCTCTTATAATCTTTTTGTATAAATAGTGATTTTGTGTTTAGGTTTTGGAATGGTTGTTTAATTATAAAATTTAGTGGAAGATATAGCCCTTCAGCTTCTACTCCGCTTTGAAGGAATGAAATTTCAACCATAAGCTTACTTTTAGTACTGTGACTTAATTCTGGGAAGAGCTGGGGGAAAAAAAAGCATAAATAAATAAGAAAAAAAAAATTCTGGGAAGAGCTGAAGATAGCCTGATCAAAATGCCCATCTGTACTGGAAAGAATTTTCCTCTGTTCTGATGGAAAACTGCTTCTCATACTCTCATTAATATTGTATTTGTAATGGAGTCATGTTGGCCTCTAACCCAGCACACTCTGATGCTGGGCCAGTGATAAGAGGCTTATGAGCCTGAAACTGGATGCTGACCTTCTGAGACACTGATAGGACAGAGATGACACAGCAAGTACCAGCATCATCTCTCAGAACATAGCTCCCAGATGTTTGGAGGCAGTTTACTACAAGAAGATAATGGTCCTTGCCTTGGATATCTTCTGTGTGAGAGATACTGGAAATGGAATTCTTGACTGATAAATGAAGAAGGGAGAAAGTCCTATGGGAGTGGCCCCCAAACATCTCTAGAAGAGTCTCCACAAGGTTGGCCTTCATTTATGCAAGAAATGAATCTTTTCTCTTATTTGGACAAGAACACAGGGATTCTTAGAACTCATCCGTCCTCATGGCTGGGATGAAACTTGAGACAGAGCCAATGTGTTGAAGATGTCGCTGAGCCCTGCTCTGGTCAGGCCTATTTTCACATCAGACCATTTCTGGGCTTTCAATATCTGTATCAAAAATCATTATGTTCTGGCTGGGCAAGGTGGCTCAAATCCAGCACTTTGGGAGGCCGAGGTGGGCAGATAACATGAGGCCAGGAGTTCGAGACCAGCCTGGCCAACGTGGTGAAACTCTGTCTCTACTAAAAATACAAAAAGTAGCCAGGTATGGTGGCAGGCACCTGTAAGCTCAGCTACTCAGGAGGCTGAAGCATAAGAATTGCTTGCACCCAGGAGGCAAATGTTGCAGTGAGCTGAGATCGAGCCATTGCACTTCAACCTGGGTGACAGAGTGAGAGTGTCTCAAAAAAAAGAGACAAGAAAAAGAAAAAAGGTTTTCAGGTCCCTCCGCTGAAGCTACTCAGCAAAGTCACCAGCACCAGTCTCCATTAAACAAACAAAAAAATCACCTGGGCACAGTGACTCATGCCTGTAGTCGCAACACTTTGGGAGGCCAAGGCAGGAGGATCAACTGAGATCAGGAGTTTGACCAGCGTGACTAACATGGTGAAACCCCGTCTCTACTGAAAATAGAAAAATTAGCAGGGAGTGGTGGCAGGTGTGTGTAATTCCACCTACTTGGGAGGCTGGGCAGGAGAATCACTTGAACCCGGGAGGTGGACATTGCGGTGAGCCAAGACCGAACCATTCACCATTGCACTCCAGCCTGGGCCACAGGAACGAAACTGTCTTAAAAAATAAAAATAAAAAGGCCGGCACTGGCTCACGCCTATAATTCCAGCACTTTGGGAGGCCGAGGTGGGTGGATCGCCTGAAGTCAGGAATTCGAGACCAGATTGGCCAACATGGTAAAATCCTGTCTCTACTAAAAAAACACAAAAATTAGCCGGATGTGGTGGAATACAACTGTAATCCCACTTGGGAGGCTGAGGCAGGAAAATCTATTGAACCCTGGAGGCGGAGGTTGCAATGAGCCGAGATCATGCCACTGCTCTCCAATCTGGGTAACAGAGCGAGACGGTTCTGATGCTTGTTCTCTCTCTCTCTCTTTTTTTTTGAAACAGACAGAGTTCCCCTCTGTGGCCTAGACTGGAGTGCAATGGCACTATCTCAGCTCACTGCAACCTCTACCTCCCGGACTCAAGCGATTCTCCTGCTTCAGCCTCCCGAGTAGCTGGGATTACAGGTACCTGTCACCATGCCCAGTTAATTTTTGTACTTTTAGTAGAGACGGGGTTTCACCATGTTGGCCAGGCTGGTCTTGAACTCCTGAACTCAGTGGATCCACCAGTCTCAGCCTCCCAAAGTGCTGGGATTACAGGCATGAGCCACTGTACCTAGCCACTTGTTCTCTTTAAAAAAAAAAATTCATTATGAGGCTGGATGTGGTTGCTCATGCCCATAATCCTAGCACTTTGGGAGGCCAAGGCCAGAGATTGCTTGAGGCCAGGAGTTTGGGATCAGCCTGGGCAACATAATGGGACACCATCTCTAAAAAAAAATCAATTAGTTGGGCATGGTGGTGTGTGTCTATAATCCTAGCTACTCAGAAGACTGGGGCAGGAGGATTGTTCGAGCCCACAAGTTTGGGGTCGCAGTGAGTTATGATCATGCCATTGCACACCAGCATGGGCAACAGAGCGAGACAGTGTCTCCTTAAAAAAAAGTCATTATGACATAAGGCCAAAATAAAAATATCCTGTAGGATGTTGATACAGAGTGGATGAGTGTCAACTATAGTTTGTTTTCCCTCTACTTAGTATTCAGCTCTTTAGTCAAAATTGCTGAGATTTTCATTTTCCAAGTGTTGTTTGAATTACACTGGTAGCATTTTTTACTGAGGAAAGATCTATAGAAGTTTTCATTACAGTAAGTAAATGTATGAGTTTAAGTATAAAACTTTGAAAGAGGAAAAGAAACTAACATTTAGTGGGTAGGCCCTGGCAGTGTTCTAGGTATTTACATGTGTGCTATTCTCTTTCCTTTTTCTTTCTTTTTTGACTCTCAGATACTTAATTTAGTCCACCTGACAATTCTGCAAAATACGTATGTTATTTCCACATTGCAGATGAGGAGACTGAGATGGAGAGATGCAGAGATGCTGAAATACCTTGCCCATAGTTACACAGTGAACTCGAATTTGAACTCAAGTCCTTCTATGTGCAGAGTCTACAACACCACCATGTTATCCTGGGAGGCCAGATAGGAATAGGATGGTATAAGTTAGTATAAGAACTTGTGCCAGCAAGGCCAGCTGCCAGACCTCTGATTCTAACTTTTACATGTTAGTTCCCATATGTTAATGTATGACCTTAGTTAATTTGCTTATCCTCTCTGCACCTTAGTTTCCTCATGTCTAAAGTGGAAATAATAATACACACCTCAAAAAGTTAGTGTGAGATGAAATTAGATAATATATTTTAAAAACACGGATGCTCGGCCGGGTGCGGTGGCTCATGCCTGTAATCCCAGCACTTTGGGAGGCCGAGGCGGGTGGATCACGAGGTCAAGAGATCGAGACCATCCTGGTCAACATGGTGAAACCCCGTCTCTACTAAAAATACAAAAAATTAGCTGGGCATGGTGGCACATGCCTGTAATCCCAGCTACTCAGGAGGCTGAGGCAGTAGAATTGCCTGAACCCAGGAGGCGGAGGTTGCGGTGAGCCGAGATCGCGCCATTGCACTCCAGCCTGGGTAACAAGAGCGAAACTCCGTCTCAAAAAAAAAAAAAGCACGGATGCTCACGCCGGGTGTGGTGGCTCACATCTGTAATTCCAGCACTTAGGGAGGCGGAGGTGGAAGGATCGCTTGAACCCAGGGGGCAGAGGTTGCAGTCAGCCGAGATCACACCACTACACTCCAGCCCGGGCGACAGAGGGAGACTCTGTCTCAAAAAAAAAAAAAGAAAAAGGGAATTAATGTACCCCAAAAATCATTAAATATAAACAGAGGTAAATAGTATGTCATTTGATATACTAAAAAATACAAACCCTATTTCTTTTTTAATTCCCTAGGTCTTTTCATTCACCCTTTCATCTTTTATTTACTTATTTATTTTTTAGAGACAGGGTCTTGCTCTGTCAACCAGGCTAGAGTGCAGTGGCACAGTCATAGCTCACTGTAACCTCAAACTCCTGGATTCAAGGGATCCTGCCACCTCAGTCTCCTGAGTAGCTGGGACTACAGGCACACACTACCACATCTAGCTGGATTGTGGTGGTGTGATCTCAACTCACTGCAACCTCTGCCTCCCGGGTTTAAGCCATTCTTCTGCCTCAGCCAGCCGAGTGGCTGGGAATACAGCTACTATGGTAGCCCACCACCACTAATTTTTTTTTTTTTTGAGATGGAGTTTTGCTCTTGTTGCCCAGGATGGGGTGCAATAGCACAATCTCAGTTCGCTGCAACCTCTGCCTCCTGGGTCCCAATGATTCTCTTGCCTCAGCCTCCCGAGTTCAGTTGAGATTACAGGCGCCCGCCACCAAACCCGGCTAAATTTTGTATTTTTAGTAGAGACAGGGTTTCACCATGCTGACCAGGCTGGTCTCAAAGGCCTGACCTCAGGTGATCCACCTGCCTCAGCCTCCCAGAGTGCTGGGATTACAGGCATGAGCCCCCACACCCGGACAACTCTGCCTCTTAATGGGAGGAACTGTCTTGTCACATTGCAGGGTCATGAACGGAGGGAGAATATCTGTGCCCATTTTTACAATCTGCTGCACTGTCATAGTTCCCTTCCTTGCAAGCTTTTCTGACTATAGACTTGCTGCTCCAACCTATCCCACTTCATGCTACCACATTCATTTTTTCCTACACACTGCCTGCATCATCTTACATCCTGGTTCACAAACCCCCAGAGGTGGCCTCTTTTCTTCCCTTGTGTGCTGTAAACTCTTATGCCCATCTTCAAAGGTCTCTTTAAGTTAGCCTGACCTAAAAGCAGAGGCTGTGCTATACAGGAAAAAAAGGACTAGTATAGTCAGGGGAGGCTGCCAACAAATTTTACAACCTCTCTGGACTTCTATTTCTCCTGTAAAATGAGAGGTTGGGCTAAATCTGTCAGGTTCTTTTCAAATTTGTTATTTATTTATTTATAATTGTTTTCAAGACAGAGTCTTGCTCTGTCACCCAGGCTGGAGTGCAGTAGCGTGATCTCAGCTCACTGAAACATCCGGATCCCGGGTTCAAGCAATTCTCCTGCCTCAGGCTCCCAAGTAGCTGGGATTACAGGTGCCTGCTACCACATCTAGCTAATTTTTGCATTTTTACTAGAGGCGGGGTTTCACCATGTTGGCCAGGCTGGTCTCAAACTCTTGACCTTGTAATCTGCCCACCTCAGCCTCCCAAAGTACTGGGATTACAGGCGTGAGCCATTTTGCACCCCACCTATTTTTTATTTTTTAATTTTACACTTTTGACATGAGGTCCTGCTATGCTGCCCAGGCTGGTCTTGAACTCCTGGACTCAAGTGATCCTTTCACCTCAGCCTCCCAAAGTGCTGGGATTACAGGTGTGAGTTACTGCACCAGGCCTCTCTTCAAATTTAAGATTGTGGCTGTATGTACCTATGAAGTCCTATTACTCCCCAAATAAACCCTCAACTGTAGTGAGACCAGGCTTCTTATTTTGCCATAGAACATCTCCTATTTACATTGGCCTTAGAGTGTTCATTTCCCGTGTTTTCCTTTTTTAGAGACAGAGTCTTGCTGTGTCACCCAGGCTAGAGTGCAGTGGCGCTATCTCGGCTCACTGCAACCTCTGCCTCCCAGGTTCAAGCAATTCTCTTGCCTCAGCCTCCTGAGTAGCTGGAATTACAGGCGTGCACCACCATGACCGGCTAATTTTTTGTATTTTTAGTAGAGATGGGGTCTCACCATGTTGGCCAGGTTGGTCTTGAACTCCTGACCTCAAGTGATCCACCTGCCTTGGCCTCCCAAAGTACTGGGATTACTAGCATGAGCCACAGCGCCCAGTATTTTTTTTGAAACACAGTGTTGCTCTGTCACCCAGGCTGGAGTACAGTAGTGCCATCTTGGCTCACCGCAACCTCTGCTTCCTGGGTTCAAGCAATTCTGCCTCAGCCTCCCAAGTAGCTAGGATTATAGGCTCCTGCCACCATGCCCAACTAATTTTTGTATTTTTAGTACAGACAGGGTCTCACCATGTTGGCCAGGCTGGTCTCAAACTCCTGACCTCAGGTGATCCGCCCACCTCAGCCTCCCAAAGTGTTGGGATTACAGGCATGAGCTGCTGCACCTGGCCCGTTCACCGTGTTGTCTGATTCTAGAACTGCTCTTTACCTTCTCCGCTGCTTGTCTGCTTGTTTTAAATTCTGCCTGTCTTGTGTCTTTGTTAATCTCTGCCATCCAAGTTGGCACTTAATTACATTATCTCTGATGTAATTCATTGTTTCAATTGTTAGTATTATTACCTAGATTATAAACTCATCAAGGGAAGATACTGTATTTTATATATCAACTGAGCACGTAGTAGATATCAAGTAAATATTTGTAGATTAATCCTCCATTTCCATCCCAGGTCATAGAAAAAGGAACTGGCTGAAAACTTTTAAGATAAGCAGGAGGATAAGAGAACTTGGGCAGAAGTGGAGATGATGGTGCTGGTAGTGGTTGGAGACGTGGGTATTTTTGTTAAACACACCTAAGGGAGCCAACACTTACCAGACTTTAGACTGTATCTACAACATTGCTTTGCCGTCCTTTCCTCCAGCCATTCCATGACACTGGTTCTCCTTTGCTTATTTCCTACAGTTTTCATTCTTTTATCCTGTAAGCTGTCACCATGACCCTGACAAAAGGTTCCTTCACCTACTCCAGTGGGGAGGAATATCGTGGCGAGTGGAAGGAGGGTGAGAAGGACCCCTGGGGAGTATCCAGTGATGAGCACTTCACTTGCTGGAGGACAAATACATCAGGACATACAGCCAACTTTATGGATCTTCATTTCCAACTCCAGGGTTTAATTCCATATAGTCTCTGCCTTTCCTTTATTCTATTTTAGGATTAAGTAAAGGAATTAGAAAATGCTATTGTTTATTCAACCTCCAGGAATAAGTTATATCTTTCTTTTTTCATTTTTCCAAGATGGGGTCTCGCTCTGTCACCTAGGCCAGAGTGCAGTGACACAGTCACAGCTCACTGCAACCTCTGCCTCCCAGGTTCAAGCAATTCTCGTGCTTCAGCCTCCCAAGTAGCTGGGATTACAGGCAGCTGCCACCACATCCAGCTAAGTTTTGTATTTTCAGTAGAGACTGGGTTTCACCATGCTGGCCAGGCTGGTCTCAAACTCCTGACCTCAGGTGATCTGCCCGCCTCAGCCTCCCAAAGTGCTGGGATTGCAGGCATGAGCCATGCTGCCCCGCCTGTGCCAGCCTCTCTTCTAAGCAGTTTGTATTTATCATCTTATTTAATCCTCCTGACAACTTTATGAGGTAGGCACATACTATTATTATTCCCATTTAACAGATGGGGAAATTGAGGCAAGGAGACGCTAACTTACTCAAGATCACAGAACTCTAAGTGGTAGAACAAGAAGGTAAACACAGCAGGCAGCCTGACTCAGTGCCCTCAACATCTAACTACGTTGCCTCTCTCTATGTTTAGAAAAAACAGTACCCCATTAGCACCTTAAAGCTACTAGGCAAATCTAACAGCCTGATTAGCAGCACTGGTTTGAGCTTTATTACATCAATAGGGCTGTGTTTACTCTCTGAACTGACCAGAAAACAGAACAAGATGTTGGGGGATTAATCGTGCCTTTCAAATAGAATTCAAGGGAGTTCTTGTGATGGATACAGCCCACCCAGCAGAACCTCCGGAGGTCTCTCCTCTAACAGGCCACATGAAAGAGGCCACCAGGTATTTAAAAGCCAGGAAGAAAGGCTTGGGATTGAAGGAGGCAAGGTCACATCACATCTGTACAATTTCTCAAGGCTCAAGAATTTAGGCCATGCACAGTGACTCTTGCCTGTAATCCAACACGGTAATCCCAGCTACTCAGGAGGCTGAGGCAGGAGAATCACTTGAACGCAGAAGTTGGAGGTTGTAGTGAGCCAAGATTTCACCACTGTGCTCCAGCCTGGGTGACAGATTGAGACTCTGTCTCCAAAAGAAATAAGAAAAAAAAGAGGCTGGTACATAGTAAAGGCACTATAAATGTTAGCTATTGTTAACTGCTCTGTTATTCATACTTGGGGGACTGCTTCAAATCTGTAGTGATAAGATGGGAAGGCCCCAGGAGCCAGGTTTGCTTCTTGTTTTCTTTTCTATTTTTTTTTTTTGTTTGTTTTTTTTGAGACACAGTCTCACTCTATTGCCCAGGCTGGAGTGCAGTGGCACTATCTCTGCTCACTGCAACCTCCGCCACCCAGGTTCAAGCGATCCTCCTGCCTCAGCGTAGCTGGGATTACAGGCACATGCCACAATGCCTGGCTAATTTTTGTATTTTTAGTAGAGATAGGGTTTTGCGGTGTTGGCCAGGCTGGTCTCGAACTCCTGACCTCAGGTCCACCCACCTCAGTCTCCCAAAGTGCTGGATTACAGGCGTGAGCCACTGTGCCTGGCCCCTACTGCTTCTCATTTTCTTTGTGAGTAGGGTGATGGCAAGTAAGGGATGCTAAAAGAGTAAGAAGAGACCCTGAAACTGTCTCCTTCCAACCTGAAACCTATCCTTCTCTTTGTTCAGGCCGCAGGCATGGTTTTGGTCAACTGATGTTTGCAGATGGTGGTACCTACCTGGGTCATTTTGAGAATGGGCTCTTTAATGGCTTTGGGGTATTGACCTTCTCAGATGGTTCAAGGTAGGTATGAGGTCATTTCTTTCTTCACCTTAAGTAAGGGAGGCTCTGACATAAAAATGGGATACTGGTAAATATCTGGTCAGTCCTGAGCTTGTCCCACTCCCTGCAGTATACAGATGAGGAGTAAGTAGTTCTCTTATTGGTTATTTTTTAAGTAGACCTAAAATTTGAAATGTCAACCAAGTGAATGACTTTCCACCCCGCTCCCATTCACATCCTATCTTCTTTCCTTGAGATCAGGGCTTCATGTCATACATACTCTCTGATCCTTCTCTGCTGGTTGGGAATAGGTGGGGTAGGTGGAGCTATGTGACAGGTGGAATCGGCTTGCTCCTGGGCATTATTAAATAACAGAGATCAGCAGCTGCTCGACTCCATTCATCTGGACAGCTAACTTCCCACTGAAGGCTAACTTCTTGGTGTTTCTGCAGGTATGAGGGGGAGTTTGCCCAGGGCAAGTTTAACGGTGTCGGAGTCTTCATTCGACATGACAACATGACCTTTGAGGGGGAATTTAAAAATGGCAGAGTAGATGGTTTTGGTAAGTTGCAGCCCAGCAGGATGGGTGACTTAGGTGGGCAAAATGTGGGTGGAAATATGCCTGTTTAGTTTTAATTCCGTGGGTGTCCAGCAATCCATAGTGGCTGTGCCCTGACCCCTACCCATTGAACCCACCAGTAGAGTACTCCTGAGTAGAGCAGGGAGTTTTTCTCTTCTTCGGCCTCGACGTATAGGAATCTTTGAGACATGAATGCCATTGTCACTCCCACATTTGCTCTGCCCTCCTCAAAGGCCTGCTGACTTTCCCCGATGGTTCTCATGGAATCCCCCGAAATGAAGGTCTCTTTGAGAACAACAAGCTGCTGCGGCGTGAGAAGTGTTCCGCAGTCGTTCAGCGGGCCCAGAGCGCCTCCAAGTCAGCCAGAAATCTCACTGCCTGACAGCGCCGTGGGTATCAGCTGACAAGTATTGGGAAAAGCCAGTGCCCCCGTTGTTGACTCGAGGTGAGCAAATGAACCAGAGCTGAGATAAGTTGACAATGACAGTGGAGCAAGGGCCTTATATGTGCCCTGTCACCTGCCAACCCAGAACTGGACCACAGAAAAGTGCTGAGGATGCTGGCCAGCAGAGCCTGCAGCAGTCGTTGGCGGTGCTGTCTTTCCCTGACCCCTGTGTGCTGGAAGACAGAGGAACCGCCTCTTCTCACTGGTTGATACTCTGTTCCTAAGACCTCAGGTTACCCTATGCAGCCTGCTGTGACCCTTCTGCTTCATTTTCTGCCAAGTGATACAGAATCTCTTCGTTCTGCTGCTTTTGGGGCAGGTGATCCTAGCCCCAGCTTAGGGCCAGTGCTCTGTGCTAACCTGGAGAAATAGGAAAAAGATAGGGGTGGCTCAGTACAGCAGCCCTGTGAAAGTCAAGGCCAGAGCTTTTCTTTTTATTATTATAAAAAATCGAGTTAGGGTCTTGCTATGTTGCTCAAGCTTCCTCTCCAACTCCTGGGCTCAGGTGATCCTCCTGCCTGGGCCTGCCAAAGAGCTGGAATTGCAGGCATGAGCCACCATGCCTGGCTGGCAGAGCTTTTCCGTACATTACTTTTTTTTTTTTTTTTTTTTTTTTTTAAGACAGGGTTTCACCATGTTGGTCAGGCTGGTCTTGAACTCCCGACCTCAGGTGATCCACCTGTCTTGGCCTCCAAAATGCTTGGATTACAGGCGTGAGCCACCACGCCCGGCCGTATGTTACTCCTTATGCTGGTTGGAATCATGGCTCCAGGCTTCCACTTTGTCTGATCGGACTGATATTCATTCCTGCCTATGCCCCTGTGAAGGATTTGGTAAGAGTGCTATTTCCTTCTCCCTTTAGAAGACACGCTGTCTTCCTTCACCAAGTTACAGCAGATAATCCCTATGTGTGCCTCTCTCCTTCGTTAGATGGAGAACAGGATACCTTTTTGGGACAGTCAAGAAAGAAACTCATGTAAACAGTAATCTTATTACTTGTATTTGTGACTAACTCCAGGGAAAAGGATAGAATGTTTAGGCCACTTCAGGCCCTACCATGAGTGAACTGAATTCATAGGGATGGCCTGGGCTGACACAGTTTCTTCCCAGTGGACCAATAAATCAGACTTACCTGAACCCCTGGGATTTTGGTAGAATTGGACCTACTCTAGGACTGTAGGGAACTAAAGGAGCATTTGGCTCACTGTAGCTCTTCTATCATAAGCCTTGACCATCAGGTCGCAATCACACCTTACTGATGGGATCTCTGCAGAGTTTATCATGGAGGCCTCCCCTTACCCCAGTACACAAATACATCCCCCACCTCTAGCTCCCTAGCCTCACACTGAATGTCTCCTCAACAGCAGATTGTGGTGGAAGTAATAGCCGTGTGCCTCTATTTATTCTCTGAGTTGTACTGTAGAAACAGGTGTTTATAAGAATAAAGAAATCACCAGAACTGCCTATACCTAGTTTTCCTGACTTTCTGGCCCTGCATCTTCATGAATATCAATCCATCTGCTGCTTGCAAAAGTTAATGAGATTAGGCCTTGGGACTGACCCTGCACACTTTACTATGTCAAATCATTTAATTTTCTCAGCCTCTACAGAGGAGATATATGGACTTTTTTTTTTCTTTTTAAATTAGACAGTCTCAGGTTGCCCCAACTAGTAAGTGGCACAGCTGGGTGGGATTTGTATCCAAGTCTTTCTGATTCCAACTCCCTTTCCACTGGCGCCTCTCACCCTGAGCATCAGAGTGCCCAAGACCTGAGACCAGTTATGGCCACACCTGCTGGGTACCTCTGGCAGGTCCACTCCTGCGGAGTTTCCCTTTCTCTGCAGTGAGTAGAGAGTGGTGGAACATCGACCCCCACGCTCACCCTTTTACATGCGTGTCCTCGTTGGAGGAAGGTACTATTATTATCCCTGTATAACAGATGAGGCTCAGGGAAGTTAAGCAGTTTCTCCAAGGTCCCATAGACACTAAGGGGCAGATCTCAGACCTTAAACCCTGACCTGTTTCAGCCCAGAGGCTGAGCTTTTTTTTTTTTTTTTTTTGAGACAGAGTTTTGCTCTGTCACCAGGCGCCAGGCTGGAGTGCAGTGGCACCACAATCTCAGCTCACTACAGTCTCTGCCTCCTGGATTCAAGCAATTCTCCTACCTCAGCCTCCCGAGTAGCTGGGACTACAGGTGCATGAGGCTGAGCTTTTAACCAGTACACTACCCTGCCTGTCTAGCCCTAACGTTTCTCCCAGTCCTAAACTGGATTCTCCTCTGAGCCCAGAGAAGACCCCAGGAGCTAAGTCCCAAGCTTTAGTGCCATTCAGAGCCTGGTTTTGGGTTGAAGATTGAGATCTTTTATTTTCTTCCCTCTAGCCTCTGCCCTCCCCCCAAACAAGTATCTATTTACCTCTCATTTTTAACCTTACACTTTCTTTTTAATGATTAATTTTAAAAAAAATGTATCTCCATCTTTCTGCCACTAGTCAAATATTACCGCTGAAAAAGGTTAAATATTTTGGAGAAAGCATCATTTTTTTTTTTTTGAGATGGAGTTTCACTCTTGTGGCCCAGGCTAGAGTGTAGCGACACATGATCTTGGCTCAATACAACCTCCGCCTCCAAGGTTCAAGCGATTCTCCTGCCTCCTGAATAGCTGGGATTACAGGCATATGCCACCATGCCCAGCTAATTTTTGTATTTTTTAGTAGAGATGGGGTTTCACCATGTTGGTCAGGCTGGTCTCCAATTCTTGACCTCAGGTGATCCTCCTGCCTCAGCCTCCCAAAGTGTTGGGATTACAGGCATGAGCCACCTCACTGGGCCCTAAACACTTAGCACTTTAATCAAAAAGGAAGCTGGCTGGGTGTGGTGGTTTATGCTTATAATCCCAACACTTTGGGAGGTGAGGCAGGAGGATCACCTGATATCAGGAGTTCAAGACCATCCTGATCAACATGGCGAAACCCCATCTCTACTAAAAATAAAAAAATTGCCTGGACATGGTGGTGCATGCCTATAATCCCAGCAACTTGGGAGGCTGAGGCAGGAGGCAGAAGAATCACTTGAACCTGGAAGATGGAGGTTGCAGTGAGCCAAGATTGTGGCACTGCACTCCAGCCTGAGCGACACAGAAAGACCCTGTCTCAAAAAAATAAAATAAAAGTGCTAAGTGTTTCTAAATAGCTCAGTTGCTTTCTTTTACCTCTTATCCCTCTCTTAGACCTCCAGTAAGTGAATGCCTGTTGGCTCAATATTGTTGGGGCCACTCTTAGAGCTGGGAGAAGTCAGACCATCAGAGCTCAGTTGCCTCTGGGAAGGTTCTTGACATCTGCCCAGGAAACCTAAGATCTGCATAGCAATGCAGTGTCCATCTTTACATAGCCACACTAATTTTACCCGTTAAATTTTATTATAGTAACAAAGTGATTATTTTTAATAACAAAAGCAGAGTGCCTGGAGGCAAGAGGATGGCCCTGTCTCAGGCCAAGTCCCCTTAGTGTTTCAGGCCTAGGCTGGCCAGAATAGTCTTCTAGAATGTAACATTTATCCACCAGGTGTCATTATTTACCAATCTGACAAGCCACTGGGCTGTCTCCATGCATGCAATGGTTGGAATCAAGGCTAGAGACCAGAATAGGAAATGAATGAAAATAGATTTAGAAAAGGGCACTGTGGCTGGCATGCAGCTTGCAGTGTGGAGGGAAGGGCTGGGGTGGGGGGGGTGGGTAAAGAGGTCTCTTTCAAAGACCAGTGACACTTCCTGATCAAGTTTCCTAAGCTGATGCTTCTCTGGAAGGAGTCAGAACTTGGGTTTGTAAGAGTAGCCTTGGCTTCCAGCTGTACTATGCTAGGCTCAGGTTTGAAGCCCCAAATCTAAGTAGACTCCACTTTGATAAAACAAATTCCCAGCCGGGCACAGTGGCTCACACCTGTAATCCCAGCACTTTGAGGGGCTGAGGCGGGTGGATCACCTGAGGTTAGGAGTTTGAGACCAGCCTGGCCAACATGGGGAAACTCCATCTCTACTAAAAATACAAAAATTAGCTGGGCCTGGTGGCACATGCCTGTAATCCCAGCTACTGGGGAGGCTGAGGCAGAAGAATCACTTGAACCCAGGGGGCAGGGGTTGCAGTGAGCCAAGATCACCCTACTGCACTCCACCCTGGGTGACAGAGCAAAACTGTCTCAAAAAAAAAAAAAAAAAAAAATTTCCCTTACTGTGCCTAAGTACCCCTCTGGCCTTCCTTTCTAACTTCCTGTGCCTCAAAGCATAGGAAAGCATCCACAGTAGAGAGACAAATTGAGAAATTGCTCCTTCTCAGTCTTCAGACCAGATAGATAGTTTAGGTTATAAAAGGGAGAGAGAAGTCAGGGGCCATGAGAATAGGAGGTGTGCATGAGCATGCCTGTGAAAGGCTGGCTGGAAGACCCAAGTAGGCAAAGGAGCCTCTACCTGCTCCCCACCACCCGCTCCCCTTATCCCCTCCACCGCACTCTCCGATTCAGGCTGCAGGTGCAAGGCAGGAGACTGAGATGGCCTCAGGCCAGCCATGGATGCTGCCTGCCCTCAGAGCCAGCCATTGCTGGTGAAATCCATGCGCAGTGCCTCCTCCTCAGCGGGGCTCAGCTCCTGCAAGGGGGCGCGGCAGGGGCCTCCGTAGTAGCCAAACCAGTCCATAGTTTTCTTCAGCCCTGGGATCCCGAAGCGCCGTGTCACCTGCAAAGCAGGGCCTGTTAGACAACACTGAAGAATTCTCTGAACACAAAGTTGAAGTCCTACCCTCTTCCCCCAGGAAAGTAACTATCAAATCTATGGCACTGAGGGTAGATTGGGAATCCAGATTTAGACACCAGAGAGCAGGTCTATAATAACAAAATGCAAAAACTTCAGATTGAGGAAGAAGAGTGCCTCCTTTGGTTTTAGGAGAAAAATCCACTCCAGCAGGGAGGAGAATGGCATTCAGTCCTTGAGCTGGGGTGGGAGAAGACAGCAAGGCTGTGGATATAGGCACTAGAGCATCGCCAGTCTGCAGCCCAGTTCCCTGAAACACTTAATGTCCTCCCAGGAAAAGCAAAGCATCATTGCCCAAGGAAGTTTTGTTGTATAAACTGTGTGTCATTTACTTATCCCTGAGTAAGTTCTCTTGTCTAAAAAAGGAAGGGGCTGGACAACATGATCTCTAAAGGTTTTTTCAGGATAATGGGGGACCTAAAGCTATTGTTATAGTTTATTTGTTTTTATTTATTTATTTTTTTGAGACAGAGTCTCACTCTGTCACCCAGGCTGGAGTGCAGTGGCATGATCTTGGTTCATTGCAACCTCCCCCTCCCAGGTTCAAACGATTCTCCTGCCTCAGCCTCCTGAGTAGCTGAGACTATGGGCACCTGCCACCGCACCAGGCCTTTTTTTTTTTTTTTTTTGTATTTGTAGTAGAGACAGGGTTTCACCTGTTGTCCAGGCTGGTCTCAAATCCCTGACCTCAAGTGATCCACCCACCTCGGCCTCCCAGCATGCTGGGATTACAGGCATGAGCCACTGAGCCCAGAATAATTTATTTATTTATTTTAATTTAATTTTTTTTTTTTTTTTTTGAGACAGGGTCTCCTGCTGCCGCTTAGGTTAGTGTGCAGCGGTATGATCATGGCTCACTGCAGCCTAGACCTCCCAGGCTCAATCGATTCTTCCAACTCGGCCTCCAGAGCACTTAGGACTACAGGTGTGTGCCACCATGCCTGGCTAATTTTTGCATTTTTTGTAGAAATGAGGTCTCACTATGTTGCCCAGGCTAGTCACGAACTCCTGAGCTCAAGTGATCTGCCCTCCTTGGCTTCCCAAAGTGCTGGGACTAACAGGTGTGAGCCATGGCACCCGGCTATTATAATTTAAAATCATGCATGGAATTTTACAGAATAAATGAAGCATCAAATTTCCTTGCTTTTGGTATAGCACCTGGTTATTTCATGCTGATCAGCAGTATTAGATGAATCTTTCACTGCCTGAAAACTAGGAAAGTAATCCTTAAGAAAGTTTTATCTGGAGGGAAGCTAAAACCTTAGGAGGGTAAAAATAAGAGGTTGTTTGGAATAAAAAGGCCAGGAACCATTGATGAAAGATTGACTAGTAACTGTTGACCACTAGAGGCCTGGAGGCTTTATCAAGCATGGATTTTTTTTTTCTTGGAATGGGTGGTAAGCTATCCTCCTCCAGGCCTTGTCCCCCATGATGTTCAAATAGCCAGGCCTTTTTACCCAAAGCTTCAGTTGGTGGGAAAGACCCAGGAGAGAGGACAGAAGTAAGAGGTACCTGGAGAAAAGCTCACTCCTACCATGGGTTTCCAAAGATAATTGATATGGCCCCTCTTCAAACCCTAAGCGAGGGTTGCTGGCAAAGACTGGAGAAAGTCCTAAATGTAGCCAAGGGCAGGAGGCAGGCTGCTTGGAAGGTGGAGGAAGGAC